CCAATAAAAACATGATAAATTATGGTTGTATGTAGGGATCACATACAACAATTGTATATGTAGCCTTTACCGTTTTATTTCAAATAGATATCACTTATTTTTGTGACAAAATCAAATCTTAATGTCATTAAGATTCCAAATTAAGGAATAACATTGGCTCTGTTAGACACCAGCTAGATTGTAAATGTAAGGAATCTATAAAGGGGAACGCAAAATCAAAGAGACCCAACTTTCAAAAGAAAACAGTCAAATAAAGACGTAATCTAATTGCGTCTGACCGTCGGTCTTCCAATCTAGAGGCCGTTTGGTCGCAACGCATAGTACTAAACTAAATACGAGTAAGCACATTTTTGAAAAGCCTAAATTCTAACTTTTAATTGCAGCTATCGTAAAAGTGTTATAGGGGTTAACTGAGTTATTTTGTTAGGGATTATCAGAGTTATTTAGTCAGGGGCTACTCGAATTATACGGTCAGGGGTTATTTGAGAGGTTCGGACAGGGGTTACTCATGGGGTTCAATCGGTCAAGGGTTACTTAAGAGATTACTCAGTTAAGGGTTATTCGAGTTACATGGTCAAGGGTTACTCGAGTTACTCGGTCAGGGGTTACTCAAGTTACTCGGTTAGGAGTTATTTAAGGAGTTCGATCAGGGGTTACTCGAGAGTTCGGTCAGAGATTACTTGAGGGGTTACTCGGTTTCGAGAGGTTTAATCATGGATTACTCTAGGGGTTACTCGGTCAAGGGTTACTTGAGGGGTTTCTCGGTCAGGAGGAACTCAAGTAACCGGTGACCGAGTAACTTGAACAACCCCAGCTACCCAAATAACCCCTAACCGAGTAACTCGAGTAACTCTGGCAACTCGAGTAACCCATGACCCGAAAACTCGACCGAGTAACCCCTGTCGTACGGTACAACATGCCACATACAAAAAATTGTGATTCTAGTTACTATGAAAATATTTGATTTTGTTACAAAAATGTGCTTATTTGATACTCCGTACGAATTACTATTATAAATTTGTAAATCTATCACAATTACCGGTTAAGACATTCCCTAATTTTAGTTCACATAAAACCCAAGTAAATTTATCTGTGTAAGACTCTGTTTACTTCACCCTAAAAAAATAATATTTATTAAAAATAAGTTCAGTTCAGTAAAAATAATTTAGTTCAGCAAAAACCAGTAAATTTAAATATGAAATATAATAGATATTCAGTAAAAATAATTTCAGTTCAACAAAATTAATTTCAATTTAGAAAAAATATTTTCATTTCAGCAATAATAATTTTTTTTTTTTGAATAACAACAATAATAATTTAGTTCAGTAAAAATAATTTCAATATAACAAAAATAAGGTGAAGGGATGAACAGGGTATCTAAATAAATTTTTGTACCCGGTATTTGTTAGTTGAACACTATGCTCACTTTGTTCTTTCAAAACCATATTCCTACGAGTACCTTTTAAAGTTTGAGATGACTAATAAAAAGTGTTTGATTGATATGCCTTTTAAAATGTTATTTACTTTCTCCGTTTTTATTTTATTGCATCATTTGGACTTTGACACTATTTACTTAACGTTCTTTGACCATCATTTGTGATTTATCCATTAGGAAAAATATAGTCATGAGAGATCTACTTAAATTCGTCTCGAAATCTCTTTTTCAAATATCAAATTTTTATAATTTTTACAAACGTATAATAGAAGATATTAACAGCTAAAATAATGCATTGGCAAGCGTGAAATCGCTCATAGTGCAATAAAAAAAGAACGAAGGAAGTATATATTTTCCCTCGTTAATGTTCATTACCTTTTTTTTTTAAAACTCTTAAAAATAATGAGCAAACTTTTATACTCCTAAAAATATTTGTTTACATATTTTTATTGTTAATGCTGTTAATAACTAAATTTGTGACATAAGAGCAAACTGCGTCCCACATCACACACATTTTCCCGCTTAATTATAGTAGGAAAAAAATTGCACAACAAACTTCATTATAATTAGATTAATTACAACCAAAAACTAAATTGAGCCCACCTTTGAATAGTGTTCATAATTATTATTTTCTTGTGAAGCATACTTTTTCTTTGAATTATAATTTTTTAAAAAAATTATAAATAATATACGAGTAACCGTTAAAGGTTGAAATTTTAAAATAAGACAACATTTTTCTTAATATTACAACTTTTGAGGTCTAAATTTTAAACATGTCAAAAAAAAAAAATTGTAAGTTTGTTTAACAAGTACTCCCTCCTTTTTCAAATACTACCTCGAGATCATATTATATGCAACTTTGGAATTTTTTATATCTCACAAATAATACCTCAAAGTTGCATATAATATGATCCGAAGGTAGTACTTGTTTTATTTCTCTATGCATGGAATTTTAGGAGAAATTGGAGAAAGTAATAAAATATGGAAGTAGTGGATAGGTAAAAGAATAAAACATTGTAAAAAGAAAAAGTAGATGTTGAGAGAATTGGATGAAAAAGAATATGAAATTAATAAAATATGATTTATGTTGGGTCTACCAATTGAAAGAAATAAGGGTAATTCCCAGTTTATCTTCTTGAGATACTTGAGAATTATCTCAAGGGGTTAAACTTGTACATTTGCGCAGGAACTTAAGGGTAAATGTGACTTTTTCATTTTTCTGTTTATTTTAAAGTTACCAAGGGTTAAGTCTTCCGTCAACGAGGTAACCCTCTTATTAAAGAAGTTACCCTCCTGAAATTTCCCCTTCACGACCTCCTCCTTCCTCCATCCATTCCCTCACCTCCATCAATGGAGAAATCAAATTGCAGGCACATCTTCAATGGAGGTGAAAGTCAAACCCTACCCTTAAGGGTTAACCAATCCCTAATTTCTCCATTTTTTCTATGGTTTTTCGTTTGATTTGGCGGCGAAGCCGCCGGGAAGACTAAGGAGGTTGAAGACGGCAGGGGGCGACGAGATCTGAAGACAACTACATACAGCAATTTGAACTAAACTTCACTTTCGTTCAAGTTTTCCGATCGGATCTGGAACCTTGTACTGTAAGTGAAAATTTTCTAATGTGGAGTAACTTTGGTTGTAACGATAACTTGAATGGATGTTGAAGAACGTCGTTAATTACCATTTCACACCGTCTAAATGGTTCCACATCACCAGTATGAGTGATTGCTATAGTCATATTAGTCAGCACTTCTTTACATTAAAATACTATTACTTAACAATTCCCAATAAGCTATAATTTCATAAATGTCATTAGAGAAACGCTTCTTGTTTCTCAAGAAGAGAAACTGGGGCGCCCCCGAGAAATAACTTAAATATTATAAAAGCTCTAAATAAGAAAATAGAGCAAATATTTTAAAACGTATGGAAATGAAAAGTGGAGCAAGTATGTTAAAATTGAGGGAGTAAATAGATTACCCATGATACGTGTTAATGTATAATTGGTATAAATAGTTAATTCTTTAAAATAAATAAATAAATGATAAAAGAGAAATAAAAATCACTCCTCCCCTATCTCGCCAACCGTTAGCTATTGAGTAACTTTTGGATAACTTTTAGTGGTTTGACCAAGTTAAATCATCATAAGTGGCGTTTGGTAATGTAGTGGTTGGGATTCGTAGCTTTAAGTGGTAAAAGTAGCTGTTAAGTATCTATTGATGTTTTAATCTATACTTTGAGAAAATATATAAAAAAAATGTTTACACAGTGACATTTTTGTAAATAAGTCAACAACTTTTATTAAATGTGGGTTCCACAAATGTTGATTTAGTTACAAAAATGCAATCTTGATTTGATTGAGATGTGTTGTTGATTTATTTACGAAATGTCATTAATTAAAATTTGATTGTTTATAAGGAAAATAAATTGGGGATGCATCCTATACTTTTAAGAAAAAATATATTATATGCAACATCAGCTAGTCAATAGCTACTTACCAAACACTCATAATAGGTTAATTATCTATCTTCAAAGCTAACAGCTTGTTAACAACTATAAAGTAATTGCACAGTTACCGGATATTACCATAACTAATAGAACTAATATCTAACTCCACAACCATGGCCATGTTCGGAAAAATGTAGCTACAGAGATAGTTGATAGCTGTGGAAGTAACGAACTATTTTTAACTGCCAACAAGCTGTTAGCTATGTACATAAATAATTAAGTTTGGGTGTTTAGTATAGTAACATTTTACTAGTTGTCACCTTCTAATATACAGGGTAAAAAAAAAAAAAAAACACCTCGAAACAGATACCTCTAACTTTCAAAAAGCATATTCGACACTAGATTTTGAGTAACTTTTAGTGGTTTGACTTATTCAAACTATTACTTAGTAAAAAAAAAAATGAGTGTTTCGCAATGTAGTGTGGGAGTAGAATTTATTAGTTTGAGTAACTTTTGTGAAATATTAGGTTGTTGTTGGAATTTTTCTTCTATGTTTTTTTATAATTTTATCGATAATAGCTAATAGTTACTATCATAGTTAACAGCTAACAACTACCTCTACGGTTAATAGCTAACAGCTACTATCGCAGTTAATATCTAACAACTACTATCACAATTAATGTCAAACCACTAAAGTTAGCTTAAAGCTACTCAAAAGCTGCTGCCGGATGCATCTTTAATAAAAAAAAAAATATTAAAAACAAAACAAAAAAATAAAAACAATAATTGTTTTTTTCTTGTAATTTTAACTCACTATTCATGTGGTCAAAATAAAATAATTTTGTTATATGTTATCATTTATAAAAAAGAAAATGAACAAATAATTAAATTTAGAAACATTATATGAGGCTGGCCGTAGTTCCGCCGATTTTAAAAGAAATCAGTCATTTTTTTTTATTTACTTTTATTTTTTGACGAAAATGAATTAATCATTAGTTACACTATCTATTTTCCTTATTTAACGTACGGATAACAAACAAATCGAATAACAATATGCTAAAAATAAATCAAAACAGTAAAAACAAAATGGAGAATGTGATACTCTCTAGTCTCTACATACCTGTTGTGCTCTGGATGAATAACAAGACCATGGTAAAGATCCTTAACACCAACGAAGAACCCTTCTCTTGTAAACTGCCTTTGACTCGACTCGTGGCTAAACTCCGTCACTAGCAAGTTGAACCGGCTTCCGACCGATGCATACAGCCGTTCTCGCGGCCGCTCCACCACAAAATCCTCCTCTCGATTCGACGACGAAGACGACGTTGATCCTTCCATTCTCTCTTCTCTACCTCTAGCCATCATTATCCTTGCTATTTGTTTGGGTTTCATCGTAACTATATTATTTCGCGAATATTTTGTCAAATTATTTCTAATTTAAGCCTTAAGTAAACGTAGAAAAAAAAAAAAGTATGATTCTTCTATTAATGAATTAATTTTTAAGGAAAAATAGAATGTCTTTTTAGTAAGAAATGATGAATAATCTGACCTTAGAATCTTAGATGTAACTTTCCGGGAACGAAAGCATGAAAAGAGAGACAATATATATATCACGGGAATTGAAACGAATTTTGATGGTGAAAAAGTGTAACGAACTTGATCTTTGTTTATGTAACCGAACCCACCCTTCTCCGATTAAGGTTTTGACGATGTTGTAGTTATGGTATAACTAGATTGTAATCATACACTAATTTTAAGTTGAGTGATGATTTGGTTTATTTAGAGGGTTTTAGCGCAGAAATGATTTGAAATGAAGAGGGATGTTAAGAAAAAGAGAGAGAGCTTATGTAGAGTTGGGGACTATAATAAATGTTTAAATGGGTTTGTAAATTAAAACGCAAATTGGCAATATGTATATATGTAGCTGTTTTTATCACTTTCCACTAGTTGGTTGATGATAATTAGCACTTTACCCATAGTATGTGGTTTTAGTTTCTAATTGATTTAATTAATTAGGATTATCTAAATCAATGTGAGCCCTACCATTAGATTGATCAACAAATAGATGTGTTATATCCTAGTCATTATTCTTATGATATGTGTAATATTGTTGAGGAGAGCCAAGTGTAAGGAGATTGGATAAAATTCAACGTCTCATTAATCTTCTCAATTTTATGGAATATATAATAAGTAAGTGTTGGCTCAATTGGTAATTAATACCTCAAATTTTAGAGGTATGGGGTTCGAATCCTAAGCTATCAAGTGACGGTATTTGGGGCAGGGATTCTCATACTCTCCCCTCTACTCTCAAGAGCCTTGCTTGCAAATATTAGAATGAAAAACATAAGGGTTGAGGTCTACTATGGGTCTTCCTTACCAATAATAAAAAATAAATTAAAAAAAAATTTATGAAATATGGGTTGATCTCGTTGTTTAAAGGTTATTTGGAATCTTCAAACATTCATCTAAATTTTCAATATAAAAACTAAATGATCTTATATTTTGCACCGACTAATGGTGTGTTTTATTGAGTAACACGTATAACACTGACCGAGTAACCCTATAACATTGGCGAAGTAACCCCTTTAACAATGACCACCCCCTTTAACAATGACCAAGTAACCCCTATTACACTAACAAAGTAAACTCTATAATGGCTGGCCACACACGAAATAACCTCTATAATGGCTGGTCATACGGTGCGGCCAACCACATATAAAAATCTGTGTTTTAGTTGTAATTTGTACTTGAATAACCCTTATAAGAACTTATTATTCATGAAGTGAATTTATATGAACTTATTACAATACCTGAAATCATTGAAATAAGATGAATAGAACTGATCCTAAATCTTGTACTTAGAGAATTGGTGTAATCACCATAATGTTGGTGATATCTATTGACTTAAAAAGATAGAAGAAATTAGGGTTTATCATTGATTGATTTATTGATGGTAACCCACACGATTAACTATTGTAGGCGCGTTTGAAGTGCGCCTACGTTAAAGCATGTTGTGAATATGCTTGGCACTCATAGGAAGTGGGAATTGACATATGCGATTAGGGACAAGGAAAGTAGGGAGCCACCAACAAGTTTTTAAGGAACTTGTAAACCGTTCACGGATCATAAAAAGACAACCAAGAATAAGGGACAACGATAGGCAACAACGATTGACCCGTGAAGGTTACACCCCATTCATAATCCATGAGATTACTAACTCCATATGGTTCGGAACCACGAAAGAAGGATCGGGGATGATGGTACGAAGTGAGTCATGGAGTCACATTCGCCCGTATTGGCCTCTACTCGATTCTTATTATGAAAAGTGATTCCTGTGATCTTAAAGGCATACAAACAAAATATTCAATTTGCTCCAAACTATTATTAGGCTAAATTGGTTGAATATTAATGCAACATATAATTCTAAAATATTAGTGATCACTTGAATTAATAACAAGATTATTAAAAAGGAACCTAAATAGGTTGTCCAAATTATCTTATTAGGCGTGATTTTCAATTACATATTCCCTTTAAACATGCAATATGGTGATCATAAAAATAATAGAATAAAAATAAACATTAATATTATAAGCAATTCAACCATAATTCCAACAATATAAAATCGTTAGTAAAATAATAGAAATAAAAGGAACATAATTCTTACTTTGATTCTGTTTGTTTGCAACTACAAAATAATAAACGAGTTAGTAACTTCAAGGAAATAATAATAAAATAATAATTAAATTAAATTAAATAAAGTAGAGTTGATTTGTTGGGGTCAAACCCTCAAACAGTTCTACCTTTCACGCCTTGGCTTAAGGACAAAACCACGAGTAAAGTATGGACTCCTTGGAGTACTTGAAGAAGGAATTTTGAAATAATAAGGGTAGGCTAGTGTTTAGGCTAAAGCATAGAAGAGAGAAAAAACTAGAGAAATAATTGATGCCCCGTACATCAGAAATGAGGGGGTATTTATAGAAAAAATGTGCTGAGGGAACACACGGAACCCTAAAATGATAAAAACCCTAAAAAAGTATCCCGTGACACGGAAAACTGTACCGTGACACGGGAAGTCCCACCGTCAGACGAAAACATTCCCGTGACACGATGCAATTTTAGAGTGACGCGGGAAATTTTTAGTAAACGGGAAAGAAAACGCGTTAAGGGTTTACGCGGAAAGGACACGGAAATTCCCGTGTCACAGCAGGTTTCCCGTGTCACGGGAAATCCCACCGTTAGACGGGAATGATTCCCGTGACACGGTGGATTCCTGCCGTGGTGCGGGAATTTTCATCCCGCTTTTCCGTCTAAATACATTTTTAACCCTAATTTCGTTCATCATTTTAAGTGCTAATTGATAATTTCGGGCCTATTTCTGATTTATTATTATTTGGGCTAAAATATGAAAATAAGCAAATAAAATAAATAAAAGGTTTGGGCCAAAAATAAATAATAAAACGATAAAATAAAAAAAGGTTTGGGCTGAAATTAAATAATAAATTTGGGCTGAAATTAAAACTATGCTTTTACCAAACATCAAGACTAATCCATGGACTGTTCAAAAATATGAATTTAATCAAATACGATTTTTTTAAGCACTCTCGGGATTAAATACTGAACCCGACCAATAGTAGCGGTGAAAGGTTGTTCATCATCGGGTTTGGTTTTGGGGAGACATTTTTAGGTGTCTACAGAAGCTCCCACTTTGACTGAGTTTGTAGAAACGTCATTTCAAAAACGATAGTCAAAGTAGTCGATAGGGACGGAGAATGATTTAAGACGTTCTGCGATCCTAAATCATTCTGTATACGCCGATACCTGCAGAAAAATGTCAGTTCTACAGATAAAAGAGTAAAGGAATAGAATGCGTATCTGACACCAGTGTATCGGTGACAAATGAGTTTGGTAGCTTCCTATGCTTGAAGGAATCCACCGGATGATGTTTGTTGAAACGCTTTCCATGCCTAAGGAAAGCCGACTGAGGAGTTTGGTAGTTTTCTAAGCCTGAAGAAACCTACCGGATGATACTTTCCATGCCTGAGGAAAGTCGACGTATGAATTTGGTGTCATTCTATGCTTGAAGAAATCCACCGATGATGCTTTCCATGCTTGAGGAAAGCCGACAAAGGAATTTGGCGGTTTTCTATACTTGAAGAAAAAATCCACCGATAACGCTTTCCATGCTTGAGGAAAGCCGACTTGGCGGTTTTCTATACTTGAAGAAAAATCCACCGATAACGCTTTCCAAGCTTGAGGAAAACCGACTTGGCGGTTTTCTATACTTGAAGAAAAATCCACCGATAACGCTTTCCATGCTTGAGGAAAGCCGACGACTACTGTAATCGCTGAAATTTGCAAGTGTATGATGGTTCGATTATCCCCGAACGTGGGCCGCAGATGATTCACACCTTCAAGTCGATTATCCGACCATATTAGGTGCTTAAAATATCGATAAAAATTGACTTTAATGCTTCTAGGGGCAAAATAGTAATTTTGGTACCCTCCAACTGTCAGTTAGAATTTTCCGCGTAATTTTACTGAAAAAATTAACTGTCCAATTTGCTCGGAAAATCGTGCAATTTTGGTCAAAATGACAGGAATATTCGCAAATAGCTACGCAGGGCAGGCGCAGGACCACCGTGTTGAAGGAGTTATGTCTTCGTCGTGTGCAATTACTAGATATATAAATGGATCAAATTATGGAGATAATTAAGTTCGTACATTTGGGTCGTCGTTTTGCCATAGCTAGAGGTACTAACGATCTTTGGACTAGTAAAATAGGCCAAAGCCCAATTGGACGGATCCTATAAGGTCACACAAAGGGGCTAGATCGAGCATTAGAGGACGAGGCCCATCATGGGCCTCATCACTTTAGGTGGCCGGCCATATGGGGATTATTTGAGAGTTTTGGGCTTCGTGCCCTAGTCTAATTATAATGAGATTATAAATAGACTAGGTGCCTAGGTTTGCAGGTGGGAGAAAGCAATTAACTGATCAGTGTGATCAAATCCTAATTAGCAAACATGAAACCCAACCCCTCTCATAGTCCTCTCTCACACGGCTCTCTTCTCCTCCTAGGCGCCGGTGGCGTGTCGCGGTGGTGGTGGTTCGTGCGGTGGTCGGTTGTCCATAAAGGTGGTGATCGCGGTTTTCCTCAATCACTCGACCAATCTAGTATTGGTGGACGGCTCGTTCGAATCTCGTGGACTAAGTAGAGGAGCAACGCTTGGGGCTCTATTCTCTCCTTGATTTGCCTGTCGAATAGTTTCGTGGAATTCACACGTCAAAGGTATGATTATGTGTATTGTGTGTTATTCATGTGATTCTTGGGATTGGTACTTGATTGAATATGATTCATGTTTTTCCGCTACGTAGTACCTATAAACTCCTACAGTGGTATCAGTTAGCCTCTTGCATGAACGCGCTAGATCATAATAATACGATTATTTGATGTCCACGTTAATTTTACAATCAATTAAGAGGGAGAAGTTAATTTAATTATGGTTTAGTTATTATATTTAATGTGATTAAACTTTTGGAATCGATTAAATGTGATTTAATTATGCTCAAAATAGCCATGAAGAGACCGAATTTTAGCCCTAATATGTTCGAAATTTTCAAACCCCATAACCCTAAATTTCTATTTTTTTCGAAAATCCTAGCCCTAAAATATGATTTTTGTGCTTGATTTTGATCTAATTCGATTTATTTTATGATTCATAATTTTAATCGGATTGATTTATGCATAAAATTTTTTTATGTATGATGATCAATTTAATTTTAAAAGTTAGAATTAAATTGGGATTAATTTTATGATGAACCCTAATTATAAAGTTAAATGTGATTTAATTTTAATCTTATGGACTGATTTAATTTAATTATGATAAATGTTATTTTAATTAAATTAAAATACAAAAAAAAAATTATTTTGGTCGGCAACCGCGGCTGGGTGGCGCAGCCACGGCGGCTGCCGACCAGGTGGCAGTCCGAGAGGGAGGGAGGGAGGGCATGCGGTCAGGGGTGGCTGTGGGCAGCAGCGTGCAAGCGTTGCACGG